CAGACAGACACACAGACAGACAGACAGACACACAGACACACAGACACACAGACAGACACAGACAGACACAGACAGACACAGACAGACAGACAGACAGACAGACAGACAAACAGACAGACACAGACAAACAGACAGACAGACAGACAGACAGACAGACAGACAGACAGACAGACAGACAAACAGACAGACAGACACAGACAGACAGACAGACAGACAGACAGACAGACAGACAGACAGACAGACAGAGACAGACAGACATACAGATAAGACAATGATTGCAGTGCAATGCTACGAAATTAAATGAAATTGAATAGAACACAACACAATGCAATACACAAAAATACAATACAACATACACGAAGTCACGCAGTCAAATACGAGTACTCTCACTAATACAAGCACAGGGTAGTCGTGAGCATAACCATACGTGCACAGTCGGCTGTAGACATTATACACCAGCACTTTGCAAAAAACATCGCGACCAACTTGGCGTCTCCAGTTCAATCTCGGACTATGGAGGATCAGCATCCGCCGTAACAGCGCATGGTAAGGGGCAAGATCACAACCCAAAACTGTCTGAGAAGATGCAGATGTCAAACAGACCGCCTTCGAAGCTATCCGTCTAGAGTTTCACGGCCATACCAGCTTGTCCGGGTCGGGGGGCGCCCCCCCAAGCTGCTACTAAATGCTACTAACACTAGGAGGTCATTCCCAAAACACTGCACTCCTATTCAGCCTTTCCTCCCTCCGCATATTATATAGTAGATGCGTTGCCCAGGCGTCCGAGGCCGTGGCCAACTGGTGCAGGTCCGGCTTTTTGCCTGCCTTCGAAATTAATTTCAGTAGGGTTTGGGAACAGAGGTACATCCGGTGTGAGTGCGGAATCCAATCGTGAAAGAGAGGACACATAACCTCCAACCCCTGCAAACCCCAAACTCCTAAACTCCGAAACCCTAAACTCCTAAACTCCTAAACCCTAAACTCCTAAACTCCTTAACCCAAAACTCCTAACCTCCGAAACTCCCAAATAGGACCCGCAAGTCACACAGCAACCCTCGAGTCTCAAACCGGTCCCAGCCTCCCCCATGTCCGGCCCCAAGCCTAAGCGCTCTGCCTCGCCCTTCGCCAGGGCTACCTGCCCAGAGAACCCAATACAACTTACTTAAGGAATATGCCTTAAAATCAGAATATGAAGGCCCCTATAATTTAAGGCATATTCCTTAGCTAAGGGGTATTGGGTTCTCTGGGTGCGGATCTTTGGGTTCGGGGGGAGTTTAGGAGCTGAGGGGCAGAGGGCTCAGGCCGTATGCCCCATACCCCTAAGCTCCTAAACTCCTAAGCACTATGGTTGATGATATAAATCTTGCATTATCCATCGTGCATTGACCTAAACTCTGCATGCAAGCGATGTTCAAACACTCTCAAACCTGAACACAAATTCCCTACCCAATTGAGCTTTGCTCGCAGCTGGCAGGCACCAATTGCTTGGTTCCGATCATTATAACTCAAGGTGAAAGCTCATGTTTAGTATCGCTGTTGATGCTACAACTACTACTACCGTCAGGATGACTATGATTGATATCCTGACGCTGATGATTATGCTTATTCATAATTATCCATCCATCCATCCATCGATCCATGCAAGCTTCCGTCGCAGCAATCCCAGAAGAGCAGGATGATTGTTCCGGACCGTATACTATACAACCCGGACCAAGGACTAAGTCTGGACACGAGTCGTGTCGTTGAGTCATGCATGCCAGATAAGCCAACAAAAGCGGGAAGCCCCGTGGAAATATAGGGGCCTTAATAATTAGAATAGGGTTTTGGGGCCCATTACACTATGATGATAATAAGGAGCCCCCCAAAAAAGTGAA